ATGTGAATAATTAATATCGATCGAAAATTAACTCTAACATCTCCATCGTCCTCTTCGTCGTCACCATCGTCAGTCGAATCATCGTGATACAATTAAAATTATTATCCCTTCATTCCTCTATTCACGAGAAAACTTAACTATCGTAAAGGCCATCTTTTAATCAACAGTATGTCAATCGTTATGTCTCGTTAATTGCGGGCGAACTTACGGTAAAACCTAATAATATTTACATACGCTGAATAAAAATGCTATTGATAGGCGAATGGAAAAATTTCAATCGGTCTGCAAAATTCGGTGGAAAAGAAAACAAAAAAGGAATACAACACTCTCTTAAAACAACTATAAATATTCACTTCACTTAATCTTTGTCTCAGCTAACTTGTCGGCTGATTCAGATTGTACGCTCATCGTTCGCAAGACAGAAAAAGGGTGATATTAACAAAATATGAAAAAAAGGAACAACAAAAAGAGCGATGGAAAATCGAACGAATTTTATTAACAGCGACACGATGAAAAGAATGAAACTGGAATGGAAAAATGCTCAGATCCTTCGAGAAACACAGAACAACCCTTCCCCAAACGTTAATTTCAAGTTCAACTCGAGAGTATTGGTGTATCTTTAAGAAATGTCCAAACAAATTTGTATCGTCTGATGTATTTCGATTTATTCGAATTTTTCCCCCCGAGTTTTAAACGTCAAAGTACACTCGACACGAGGAAGGGTCGAACTGAATTTTCAGCCCCACAATACTATTCTCGATTAATACTGAAACAACACCCTTGGTAAACACGATCGATAAGATCACGAATTCTATTGTGTAACGATCTCGACTCTACTGAAGTCTTACAGGTGCTGTTAACCATTAATTACAATGATTAGAGCCGTAATGTCCAACGTCAGTAGTAACGAGGGTGTATAACTTATCGATCACTATAATCGACACGACAGAAGGAGGAATTGATCAGTTAACGGGCAGAAATGATCCTTAATTAGTAATCGATAATAATAATAATAAAACGACGCAAAATATGTCCCCTGTGTCACTCTCGTATTCTCCACCCCACCGTTTGCCATAATCGCAAATACGTCAACATCCCCTTATACATATAATATAAATCTAAATAATAATATATATATATTTATATATTTATAATATTCATATTTATATAATATAACATATTCGTCCTAAAACTGCACGATTTCTCACGTGCACGATTAAATCTGAATAGAGCAATTCAAACACCTCCTCTACTCCTCATCTCTCCACCCAATTTTCGTCGTTAATTTTCTCTAACACTCTTCTCGTTTCCATTGAATTCCATCGAACGTGGATTTGTTTGAAAAAAAAAAGAGGAAAAAACAAAACAAAAAGATTCTTTCACAAATAATTCAACAAAGCTAGTTTTCGCAAAACTAGCGATATTGTTTTGGTACAACTTCGTTGAATTATCGATTTAAATACTGGGAGGATAAGAACGAAAATTTCGAAAGGTGTCGAAATAATTCAGAATGTTATTCAACGTTATCGGACGATTTTTTTTTTCTTCTCGTCAAAATTAAGTTCTCGTACGAGTAATTCAACGAAGCTATTTCTTTTTTTCGTAACGATGATATTGATTTCCGTACAGCTTCGTTGAATTATCGATTTAAGTACTGGCAAGAATGAAATTTCGAAGGGTGTAGAATTAATCTCTCCACGTTCGATAGAATCAAAGTGTGAATTGGTACGATTTTTTTTGGTTCTCTTCCTTTTTTAAAGAGGGGGTGAAAAGTGATGGAGATCAGAGGATAAAAGAAATACTGCTGGATCGAGGAGCATTTTACACAATGTCCTCCCCTCCGTTGCCACTCTAGTCTCTTCGACTAAATTTCACAACGTACTCTCGACAGTTTGATATAATATATTGATGCTTCGACAACTTCTCCCCCGAATTTCTCGGGTTCGAACGCTTCACTGTGAGCCTCTCCTAATCGTTTTTTTCTCCCTCCTCCGATCATTTCGGCCTCTCTATTTCTGATTTTTTTTTAGTAACGTGGGCGGTATTCTCATGAAACGTCAACGAAAAGAACTCCACACTGAGCCACTTCTCGTCCAATCGCGCCAGCTTTAACAATTAATTTATTAATTGAGCTTAGAACGATGATTTTTAGGAATGACACACCGTTTTCTTTTTTCCTCCCTCTCTTTCTTTCTTCTTTTGCGTAGCTTTAACAATTTCAAAGAGTGAAATGGTGCAGTTAGAATTGAGAATTTTTTGCAAAAGAATACTCTTCAAAATTATATACACTTGCTGGACGAAATAAATGCGAAAAGAAATGAATTAGCCGCAGACGAAAAGTGGCTCGACAAATATTTATACGGTTCCTCTTTAATCTTTAATTACTCACTAATAATTCGCGAAACTACGTCGATTTATCTTAGCGACGATAAAACATTATACAACGTTTCTTATTAATCTTTTTTTGTTTTTTATCCTCATATAATATATATGTCCGTGTGTGCGATGTTTGTCACTTGTGTCCGTATCTGTGCGTGTGTGTTTGTGTTAAGAGTATATTCAGCTCATCGTCAGTGCTGGTTGACGTAACCTTTCGAATAAAAATCGTACATTTTACGACACCTTTCTCATTTTGTCTCTTGGTACTTGGAATAATTATTTCAGCTGTGTTATATTACAGAATATTATTTGTATTTCAATTCCGATCGGGGGTGAGAGAAATGTGAAAGAGGCAAGATGCAAGATTTTGAGTAATTTTTTAAAAAGGAATAGAATTACGACAATATTATGTATGGTATTTACAAACTTTTTAATATCTTTCGAGCCAAAACGCGAATTATTTAATAAATGAATGTAACTTTTTGAGTAATTTAAAAAAAGAAGAGAAGTATTGTAAGATCTAATTACAAATTTGTTTGGTATTTTGTAAACCAAAAGAACGGATTATTTCATATTTTTACTCTTCAAAATAATTTAGAAATTATCGATAATTTCTCAAATATAACGCATCATGGTCTAAACAATTATTCCAAGTACAATTGTTTAAATACTTGATATTTCTTTAACTATGTTTCTTTCCTCGAAAGAAGACAGTTTTTGCTCGAAGCACGTCCAGCATTGACTCTCGTAGCGTCGTTTTATCGTATATCTACACAATACTGTTGCGAGTATCGAATAATCTTACGTCGACTAATTAGCATCAGCGACAGTTGTCCGACGTTTTTTTTTTTTTTTTTACACGATAAATTACGGGCAATTGACTTTATGTCCCTATATCATAGTATTCAGACGCACGTCCTGAAGAGATTAGTTTCGATATAGAAATAGAACGATCATTCTCTCTTTTCTCTTCTTCGTCATCATTCACACAGTTAGTTTCACATCTCGAGTGTTCTAGAATTTCTGCTTTTTATTTTCTTCTCCGTAGCTATGCGGGGAATTGTTTTTACGAGAAAAATGATGAGGAGAACTTTCATGAAACGTGCAATTCTCTCTTTTGATTGAAGAAATGAGGTTACGTTTTGGTCTTCGTGGCAACAATGCATCGATTTAATCAAATATTACCGAAATAATTACACTTATTTGTAAGTGAGAAGTTCACTTTAAAATGATTTAATTGGAAATTGTTTTAGAATTTTACTGTAAACGTGTTACTGTAATTTTCTCTATATGATTCTATGGTTTGATGCAAATTTATGCATTGTTGTCACAAGAAGTATTCGTAAATACACTATCGACAGAGAATAGGGGAATTCAGAGGAAAAAACGTCGACATTATTCCAAACTCATGATTCGCAGATTTTCAATCTGTCGTTATTTCAACTTCTCTTTTCTTCTCTTTTCAACAACAGTGCATTGTCAAATTTCAACCATGTTCTTCAAAGAATATGTACTTCTCTAACTTCGCAAGAATGGTGTGATACAAATAGTACAGTGCAATGACTAATTAATCATACTTATCGTCAAACTGAAAAATTCTCTTTACTTTCAATTTTTTACATTTTATTATTATCGCGATTAAAAGACGGTATTTAAAAAAAAAAAAAAATAAACAAAGAGAAGAAATTTCCTTCGTCGAGTAAAGAATTAATAGAAGCTCGATTAATTAATCATTGCACGCTATATCTACGATGCTTTACAATTAATTTTAATTAATTATCATAACACTAT